GCATAAAAAGTCAACTGATTTTCATTCTTTGACTTGCTGAAAACAAAGGGAAAACGGGCACCAGTTCCAAAGTTTTGATGTCTCCATCAATGTGCGTGGTTCGATGATGATGGCAGGTGGGCAAGCTCAACAGAGCTGGTACTATTTTCTTGACTTACGATGATTGTTTTAGAATTTCACTACATAATAAAATGTCGGTCTGAACACTTAGCCCCTGTTTGAAACCCATTTTGGGAGAAATAGAAATTTTGGAATAGTGATTGATGTGAGAATGTGTGGTGGAAAAGTGATGAAAAGTTTTTGATTTGTGTGTAATATTATTTTATTAGGAGAATGTGTGGTTGAAATGAAGAATGAGAATGAGAATGAGAAATAGAAAGAGAAATTAATGGGTGTCAAACGGGGGCTTAATCACAACCGCAAGGTATTGAATTCATTTTTACATTTTAAAACAAAATACTAATAATAAAAAATTAACTAAATATAACTTCAAAACCTGAAAGTTGTTTAATCAACGAGGTTAACAAACAGTCGATAACAAGTGTAACAGAACATCTTGTTAGTCGGTCTTAACACAAACGGGAGTTAATCGACCAACTCTTAACATGTGGCCGATTAAGCGACCATCTATTTAAGGAAGCACACAATACATTCTTTCCCATAATTCTGGTCAAAATTCAAAAAAGATGTCTTAGCGCCTACGGTCTTGAAAAAAATTGCTAGAAAATTTTGGTTTTTGTGTCGAATCACCGACCTCACTATGTTTGATTTAAAACTGTTGCATGCCTTTTATCACTTCCAAAAGACTTATTAGTACAAAATGTCCCTATATTTGGCATTTAGTATGCAAAACGTCCCGACGGTTCAATTTTTTGCATTTTTCACATCTATTTTAATGTTTCATTGCGGAAAACATCATTTTCCTCAATTTTCATCTAGTTTCTCTTTAAAAATATGTGAAATGACAAATATACTCTCTTATTTAATAAAACAAGAAAAAAATAAAGAGTTAATTGCAACCATAGGCCCAAAATTTTCAAAAAATTACAAATGTGTCCCAAAAAAATAATTAAAAATCAAAACTAAAACCAAAAACAAAAATAACTTCATCCTCTTCCCCCATCCCAACCAAACCAAAAAAAATAAAAAATAAAATGGAATAAATAGAACCGCCGGCATCCATCTAGCCAACCACCACCTGAAGTGTCGGAGCTCACGCCACAAACCGCCACCATCAACCTCCAAACGCTTTCCCATAAATCAATTGAAATATATTTATATGGCCAAAATCAACAAAAAATACAGCTGGTCGCGCGGACATACACACTCCCTCTCTTCTTCAATTTCGGCGGGGCGGTGGTTTCCCATCGTTGCGGACCACCCATTCCGGCTTCACCACATCACGTTGCACCTGCTACAACAATGGGCTTCCATCAATTTCATCCTAGTTTTTGTTATTTTTTGACCTTCAATTTAACGTCATTCCCCTTGCAAATGGCAACCCGTACTCTGAAAATGTAGTAGGTTAGGTTTAACAGTATATTGTAATGTACTAAACTAGAAAGTTGAAATTGAAAATGATGTCAATTGGAGTGGGATGGGGAAGAGGAAGAAGTTATTTTTATTTTTGTTTTTGATTTTTAATTATTCTTTTGGGACTTATTTGTAATTTTTGAAAAAAATTGGGTATATGGTTGCAATTAGTTCTTTATTTTTTAAATTTAAATATGAGGATATATTTGTCATTTCACACATTTTTATAGGACAAATGGATGAAAATTGAGAAAATGATGTTTTCCGTAATGAAACGTGAAAATAGAGGTGAAAATACGAAAAATTAAAATGTATAGACGTTCTGTGTCAATAAACCTTTCCAAAAAGTCAATTAAGCCCCTGTTTGCCCCCCA